TTCAAATTATCATAAATTGGATCAATTACTCACCAACCAGCTTTTCAAAATATTACCATTCGAAGTGATCAAACAATGGCTGCGCTCTTTCTCCCTCTGTGACAGACGTCCAAGTGTCCCCACGTGTCTGTTCCTTTCAGGCCTCCCCCAATGTGCTTCTTTCTCCCATTTTTTTGTCCTAGCTACTTCCATTCCCCCTCATTCATAGTTACATAGTTAGTCTGGCTGAAAAAAGACAAAAGTCCATCCACTTCAACCATTAAAAAGAAAACAAGTTCTAATCCCACAGTTGATCCAGAGGAAGGCAAAAAAAACCAGCAAAGCATGATCTAATTTGCTCCTGCAGGGGAAAAAAATTCCTTCCTGATCACCCGAGAGGCAATTGGATATTCCCTGGATCAACTTTACCTATAAATGTTATATTCTTGTATCCAAGAAAGAATCCAGGACTTTCCTACAGCAAATCCACTGAGCTGGCCACAACCAACTCTTGAGGGAGTCTATTCCACATTTTCACAGCTCTAACTGTGAAGAAACCTTTCTGTGTTTGGAGATTAAAGCTCTTTTTACTCCAGATGTAAAGAGCGCCCCCTGTCCTCTGTGATGACCTCAGGGTGAATAGCTCTACACCGAGTTCACTATATGAACCACTGATGTATTTATACATGGAGATCATATCCCCCCTTATGTATTATACATGGAGATCATATCCCCCTTTATGTATTATACATGGAGATCATATCCCCCCTTATGTATTACATGGTGATCATATCCCCCCTTATGTATTATACATGGTGATCATATCCCCCCTTATGTATTATACATGGAGATCATATCCCCCCTTATGTATTATACATGGAGATCATATCCCCCCCCCTTATGTATTATACATGGAGATCATATCCCCCCTTATGTATTATACATGGAGATCATATCCCCCCTTATGTATTATACATGGAGATCATATCCCCCCTTATGTATTATACATGGAGATCATACCCCCCCTTATGTATTATACATGGAGATCATATCCCCCCTTATGTATTATACATGGAGATCATATCCCCCCTTATGTATTATTATACATGGAGATCATATCCCCCCTTATGTATTATACATGGAGATCATATCCCCCTTTATGTATTATACATGGAGATCATATCCCCCCTTATGTATGTATTATACATGGAGATCATATCCCCCCCTTATGTATTATACATGGGATCATATCCCCCCTTATGTATTTATACATGGAGATCATCATCCCCCCCTTATGTATTATACATGGAGATCATATCCCCCCTTATGTATTATACATGGGGATATATCCCCCTTATGTATTATACATGGAGATCATATCCCCCCTTATGTATTATACATGGAGATCATATCCCCCTTATGTATTATACATGGAGATCATATCCCCCCTTATGTATTATACATGGAGATCATATCCCCCCCTTATGTATTTACATGGTGATCATATCCCCCCCCCCCCCCTTATGTATTATACATGGAGATCATATTCCCCCCCCCTTATGTATATATACATGGAGATCATATCCCCCCCTTATGTATTATACATGGAGATCATATCCTCCCCCCTTATGTATTATACATGGAGATCATATCCCCCCCCCCCCTTATGTATTCTACATGGAGTCATATCTCCCCCCCCCCCCTTATGTATTATACATGGAGATCATATCCCCCCCCTTATGTATTATACATGGAGATCATATCCCCCCCCCCTTATGTATTATACATGGAGATCATATCCCCCCCCTTATGTATTATACATGGAGATCATCATATCCCCCCCCTTATGTATTATACATGGAGATCATATCCCCCCCCCCCCCTATGTATTATACATGGAGATCATATCCCCCCCAATTATTATCCCCCCCCCCCCCCTTATGTATTATACATGGAGATCATATCCCCCCCCCCCCCCTTATGTATTATACATGGAGATCATATCTTCCCCCCCCCCCCTTATGTATTATACATGGAGATCATATCCCCCCCCCTTATGTATTATACATGGAGATCATATCCCCCCCCTTATGTATTATACATGGAGATCATATCCCCCCCCCCCCTTATGTATTATACATGGGAGATCATATCCCCCCTTATGTATTATACATGGAGATCATATCCCCCCTTATGTATTATACATGGAGATCATATCCCCCTTATGTATTATACATGGAGATCATATCCCCCTTATGTATTATACATGGTGATCATATCCCCCCTTATGTATTATACATGGAGATCATATCCCCCCTTATGTATTATACATGGAGATCATATCCCCCCTTATGTATTATACATGGAGATCATATCCCCCCTTATGTATTATACATGGAGATCATATCCCCCCCCTTATGTATTATACATGGAGATCATATCCCCCCTTATGTATTATACATGGAGATCATATCCCCCCTTATGTATTATACATGGAGATCATATCCCCCCCCTTATGTATTATACATGGAGATCATATCCCCCCTTATGCATTATACATGGAGATCATATCCCCCCTTATGTATTATACATGGAGATCATATCCCCCCTTATGTATTATACATGGAGATCATATCCCCCCCCTTATGTATTATACATGGAGATCATATCCCCCCCCCTTTATGTATTATACATGGAGATCATATCCCCCCCCCCTTATGTATTATACATGGAGATCATATCCCCCCCCCCCTTATGTATTATACATGGAGATCATATCCCCCCTTATGTATTATACATGGAGATCATATCCCCCCTTATGCATTATACATGGAGATCATATCCCCCCTTATGTATTATACATGGAGATCATATCCCCCCCCCTTATGTATTATACATGGAGATCATATCCCCCCTTATGTATTATACATGGAGATCATATCCCCCCTTATGTATTATACATGGAGATCATATCTCCCCTTATGTATTATACATGGAGATCATATCCCCCCTTATGTATTATACATGGAGATCATATCTCCCCCCCCCCCCTTATGTATTATACATGGAGATCATATCACCCCCTTATGTATTATACATGGAGATCATATCCCCCCTTATGTATTATACATGGAGATCATATCCCCCCCCTTATGTATTATACATGGAGATCATATCCCCCCTTATGTATTATACATGGAGATCATATCCCCCCTTATGTATTATACATGGAGATCATATCCCCCCCCCCTTATGTATTATACATGGAGATCATATCCCCCCCCTTATGTATTATACATGGAGATCATATCCCCCCCCCTTATGTATTATACATGGAGAATCATATCCCCCCCCCTATGTATTTACATGGAGATCATATCCCCCCCCCTTATGTATTATACATGGAGATCATATCCCCCCCCCTATGTATTATACATGGAGATCATATCCCCCCCTTATGTATTATACATGGAGATCATACCCCCCCTTATGTATTATACATGGAGATCATATCCCCCTTATGTATTATACATGGAGATCATATCCCCCCTTATGTATTCTACATGGAGATCATATCCCCCTTATGTATTATATACATGGTGATCATATCCTCCCCTTATGTATTATACATGGTGATCATATCCCCCCTTATGTATTCTACATGGAGATCATATCCCCCTTATGTATTATACATGGAGATCATATCCCCCCTTAATCTCCTCTTTCTCAAGAGAATAAATTCAGTTCCTCTAATCTTTCCTCATAGCTGATCTCCTCCATACCTCGTATCAGTTTAGTTGCCCTTTTCTGTACTTTCTCTCCAGTTCCTCAATGTTCCTTTTGTGAATTGGTGCCCAAAACTGAATTGCATATTCCAGATGAGGTATTACTAATGATTTGTACCGGGGGGGGGGGGGGAATTATGTCTCTCTCTGGAGATTATTGGGAAATGTCATTAATTACAGCAGTTCATAGCTTGCAGACCAAAGTAACCCTCTGCTGTATCGTGTGCACCTTTCCTTTACCACTCCTGTCTACTGCTCCACTCCACTGGTGCAACTTTCCAAGGGTCATAGAAAAAAATGTAGACTTACTCGAATTTAATGTTTGCAGATGGCATGCCCCTTACTTTCACCAGGTTAAAATCAAAGCAGACCCTTCATCAGATGTGGGTGTGTGTATGTATGTATGTTTATATATATATATATATATATATCTCCCTGACATTTAAAAAAAAAAAAAATTTCATGCATTCAAGGTACTTTGTCAGTGTAACAGTTCCAGGTACTCCTTGTTGTAGGTCATAGTACCCCCTTGAGTCCTGACAATGCCTCAATTTTCCTCAGTGCCCTCTTCACATATGAGGCAGGCAGCATGGCACAACACAAGTTCATGCATGACCTCTGTCTGTAGTCTAGGAACTGACAGTTCCTGTGGAGGCACTACATATCCCGCAATCTCTGGCTCTCAGTCTAGAGCTCTGCGGGTTAGATCTACACAGTAATTAGAGCTGATATAGACACAAACAGACAGGTCAATTAACAAAGCGCTCATCATGCAGTTTTTCATCACATTACCACTGCCACATTTGCGATGCAACACAATGGAAATGTTGAGGCATGCGCTAGATGCTAGAAGTTGTTGTCTGTCCCTTTAGCGAATAGGGACAAGCTAGGTGAATGAGTACATGGACATAGGGGAGTCGATCCAACGTAGCCACCCTTGCCTCCAGGGACTAGAGTTGTCTCCCTACGCTGTGTGCATCAATAGAAACACACAGCCCAGTAGCTTTGGATGGCAAGGTGCTTCTCCTCCCTCTTTCCTTCTTTAAGCTATCAGGCAGACTGCACTGACCATTGTTAACTTTCTTGTGCGGACTGAAATTTCAGAGCAGCAGCACTAAGAAAGTGGAAAATGAGTCTGCGTTTGGTGTTCAGATACCAAGAAAATCGACTTCACTGCTCATTCCATTGGGAGTCTGGCGGCCCTTTAGGGGTTATGGAAAATGCATCTTCTTGTGCTGCTCTAACAAAGTGTTTTATGTCTTCTCAGGTTCTGTTTTCTGTGTCAGCCTGGATCCAAAGGACAGCAGCCTTGCAGTGACTGGTGGAGAAGATGACAAAGCCTATGTCTGGAGAATAAGCGACGGAGAGACCCTTTTCGAATGCACTGGTAAATATATAAAAGGTGGAGTGCAGCAAAACGGAAGTTTTACCTTTTTGTTAAGTGCTTCAGGACATTGTTTGAAAGGCATGGTAGGCTTTCTAATAGTAAAAGCGAAGTACTGCCTTTTTGGTTTCAGTAGAATATTTATCTCGTCGGCACAGGAGCATGACAGCATTCAGTGGTTCTTCTCCCCCCACAGATGATGTCACTTTTGTGGAGCTGGGCCAGCACAGCCATGTCTTTCATCCCATCTGCCATCTCAGCAGTTGTACTTGTTCTTAATGGAACATGAGCGTGGTAATTACAGCAGTCATAGTCCATCAACACTTCCTCTAGCTCTCCAACTGAAAGCTTGTACCTTGGTGTGGATAAGAAGCTGGAGGAAGAGTCTGCAGGAGCCTGACATTGCACCTGCCTTCCACTGATGGCGGTTGAAATGCAGGCTCACTTGCAAAAATTAAAAAAATGCTTTTTTTTTCTTTTTTCCTGCAGATATGTGCATTTATTTTTATTTATTTTTAAAAGTGTAGTTAGCCTTTAAAAACCCAAACCCTGTACGTTTCCTTTGTTTTATTTCTGGAAAACATGTACACCAGTTTCACAATCTAATCTTACAACCCAGCCAAATCCAGACTACCCTCTCTGAGCAATCCACTTTCTTATTACCTTTCTCCTCTAGGTCACAAGGACTCCGTCACATGTGCAACTTTCAGCCATGATTCCGCCATGGTTGCAACTGGAGACATGAGTGGGCTCATCAAGGTGTGGAAGGTGGAGGGCGGCCAGGAAATCTGGTCATTTGAAGTCGGAGACTTAGAGGTGAGGCTATTGAGACGTACTCTTTTTGGCAGTCTACCTACTCTGATTTGCTTAGAAAAAAAAATAAGTGCAGAAAAATGTGACTGCGTTTACCCTTACAGGGGTGTGGAAAGTTTTGAAAAAACTTCTTGTCCAAAGACTAAATTGGTGCCCCAATCTACTTGTCCCTCATGACAATCTACTTGTTCAGTTAAAAAAAAAAAAAATTTAATCAAAACCGTATTTATATCAGAGGTGATTTTAGGAATGTCTGGGACTCTTAAAAACAAAAGGGGCTCTATGGCGACACACACACACACACACACACACACACACCCCCCCCCCCCCCCCCATATTGTAAAGCGCTACACTGAGACCTCATTCACACGTTGGGTGCACATGCAGTTGTTTCTTGCAGGGGGTGCAAACAGCCTGTTTAAATCTATGACAGGCGGCCCGCATGGGATTTCCAAGCGCATTCCAGAGTACACATCTGTGCAGGTCCAGTGCATGTTCTCTGATCCGTGCACTAGATCCGCACGGATATACACTTCGGGATGCAGATCTGTGCAGGTTCGTGAAGCCAGCCACCTGTCATTGAACAGGCTACCTGCATGGAGCACCTGTACATTCCAAGACGGCTCTTGGCATGGGTGTACGGATTGGTACGCTCGTCTGAATGAGACCAAACGCTTGGTGCTGTATAAATGCTGTTGAATAATATTATGATCATCATCATCCATTTCCCATCCGCCCTATAGCAGAAATACTGCTACAGGGCGATACAGGTGAGCACAATCACATATATATCTTTTTAATTCAAGACGACAGTTATGATGATCTTGCTCGAGAGCCTACAATGTAAAAGGGAGGGGGCAGCGATATAGGAAGTAATAACTGTGTGTGTGTGTGCGTGCGTGCGTGTGCGTGTATTTTTTTTTTATTTTTTTTTTCCAAAGACTATAATTTTCACTATAACCATCAACAATTTCTCCTGTGTTTGACTGATACCACATTGTGGTCCTGTGGGTATACTGGAGTGTGATGTGGTGATACAAAATACAAGGAATGTCTCCATAAAGCGAACCATAGTCTCCCGATATAAGGGGGTTGATATGAGCGAAGGCACTTATCAAGTGTCTACTTTGCCCACCTTTTCCGTCCTCTCCATACATAGAAGCCGTACTGTGGGTTCCCACTATCAGAAAGTGCTCCATGAATGGAAGACGGGCAGACGAATGAATGGTCCACCTTCATTCATGGAGTGTGTTTTTCATTGTGGGAACCAATAGCACCACTTCTATAATTAGAGCAAAGGGGTGGAAAGGGCAGGCTTAGTCAGCATTTGAGGAGTGCCTGTCACAAGTGCAGCCGTTCATTTTAACCCCTTCAGCTCTGGAAGATCACCATGGTAGGGGGTATGCGGGGGCACAGGACATCCGATTTTAATCAAACACAGCAGACACCAGCACAGCGGACATTCTTCAGTCATGGCAAGTATTGTCGCTAGTGCTTTAAGTGTACCAGTAACATCCCACTAATTTCAGGGGAAACATTTCCCCCTTCTTTATGGCATTTATTGGAATTAAGAATGTAAATATACTTCAAAACCTAACATTTTGGCTGGTTACATTGTGGTCAGGACACAGTGGCCCTAATCCAGCCGCATATCACACTTTTTAGTGTCATCCATCCTTAATTCCATTCTAATACATTTTTCAAGCTTTGAAGAAGGGCTGGGGAATGTCTTTTCCCTTGAAATGTTTTTCTGTACTTGATGATCTTAACCAATATATTTTCAGTGAGAATGCGTTTTTACAGGCGCTTCTCACCACACACCCAGTGTTATGGTATATATCAGACCTCCATGTTATAAGACGTCATGTTACAAAGGATCTTCAGCGCTCTCTGCCTGTGTTCACCATCCTCTACATCTCACCCATCATGGCATCTTTCTTGTTCTGACATCTGTTCTTTATTTCTTCAATTCCAGTGGTTGCAGTGGCACCCCTGCGCCCATGTACTGCTAGCGGGCACTGCAGATGGCAACACCTGGATGTGGAAGGTACCAAGTGGCGAGTGTAAAACTTTCCAAGGTCCCAGCTGTCCTGCCACCTGCGGGCAATTCCTTCCTGGCGGTAAACTTATTTTACTTTTATAACCTGTGACACTAATCTCTGGTTTAAAAAAAAAAATTCTATTCACATATGTTCACTTAACTCAAAAAGTACTCCTTCCTCTTCCGAATCTCCAAACTTCCTGTTAGAAAGTGGCTACATTCATACTTCATGGTCCCACAATGTAGCAACGTAGCCACCTCTCTTGCTCACTCCTGAAGCAGACTAAGGTCTTTGTAGTGTGCACAGAGCAGTGACCACAACTACCGTGCACTGCTCCCTCCAGACAAAGGGAAACGATGAGGGAAAAGGTGAGGTTTGGGAGCCCATGAAGGATATTATAAGGAGGCAGAAAAGCACAGTATGATACCTTTTTCTGATTTAAACTTTTTATTGGGTTACAGGGATAACATACATACAGTGAAATACTGCAAGTGGTACCATGTGCAACGAGTAGGTAAATATGAGGCTCAAGGCCTTTAAGAATCTGTATGGTTACAACAACTTTATGAACTGAATAAAATAATCAAAAAGAGAGGAAGGGAAGAAATAAAGGAGGCAAAAGGAGTGGAGAAAATTAGAAAAGGGGGGAGAGAAAGGGGGATGGATAGGGCGTGTGACTTCCAGGATGGGGGGGGGGGAGCGGGGGACCGGACCAGTGCTTCGAAGCATCTACCAGGGATGAAATGTAATAACCTCCCTAGCGGTCTGATTATTTCAGATTTTTGGTGCTGAAAGCGGTACCATTATTTTGCATGGAAATATGTAGTTTTTTTTTATTGTAGGCTGTAATTTTTATGAATAACTCACTGAAATCTGTCCGAACAAGAGTCTAGTAAACATCCCGGATATGATAAAACTTGAAACACAAAATCATAAATTATAATTTAATAAATAATCATAAAAAATAATAAAATAATAATAATAATACATTTAATTCAATAATATAATCAAACCAAAAACACTGAAATGTGAAATAGAGCGCCAAGTTTGCACATCGCTGAGCAAAGTCGCAGAATCGTTTTCAGTGTCTGATGACGAATTTCCCCCACGAATCATTATCACTCAATTCTGCAAGTGGTTCTGATTTACTATCGCTGTTCTCTAGCTGATCTAAACCTGCTTTTGACCTAAAGGGACACATTTTTGGACGCCATGGACTTTTCTCAGTTTCCAGGCAAAAGAACAGACAAAATGCAGGCAGGGCGCCGGACAAAGCACTCGGGACAAAATGTATGTGAAATGGTTTGAAACAGCAATGTTTTGCTATGTAAAATTTGTTTTGAAAAAAATGAAATTTTTTTTAAATTTTCAAATTTCCCGCCGCCGGCGCCCATACGTCACAGGGACCGGAACACAGAAGCCGGATGCCGGCATCGGCCGGAGGAGATGGCCGGGGACGCTGCAGGGGACACATCGCGGGAGCGAAGGACAAGGTAAGCGCTGCAGGGAATCCCTATGCAGCGCCGCATGGTAAGCCCGAGTGTAGCTTGGGGTTACCGCTTTTGGCACTGACATTTTACCCCGAGCTACACTCAGGAATACCGCCAGGGAGGTTAAGGGAGGAATAGAGACTCATCAAATCCTTGAGGGAGGAAGTGGTCAACCCAGGGGGACCAGATCAATAAGAATTTAGAGATTGTGTCAGTGACGGTGTCCTCTATTTTAGCATGTATCAAAGACTGGGACACCTTGTTCCGGACTGCCTGTATGTTACCTTTTTATGAAAAATAATTACAGGACCATTAAGTGGTAGATGTTTATGAATTATGTTTGGAGAATAAGGACATTGATTAGTGTCATTTCAGAATTTTAGAGTTGTACACCCATAATGTGTTGTTTTTTTTTTGTTCTGGGTAATTAAAGCTGAACTCCAGCCTTCCCTTCAGTTTTGTACTGTTGTGCATACTCCTCTTCTGGACTAAAACTGCTTATTTTGATTTCTGTACAAACTGTGAGCTTGTCTGTAGAAGCTGCAACAAGTCAGTGCCCGCCTCATTTCCTGGCTGAAGGATGTCCAGCATCATCTTAGCCTTTCCTCCCCAGCCTGACTGTCCCTAGCCTGCACCCGTTCATTCATTAGATTTCAGTTTTTTTTCAATCCTAGAGACTCAGGATAACATGTGAGCATTATCACCTGTTTCCAGGAAGCTATGTACACCCTACTGTCCCTTCCTTCAGCCATTATCTGCTTGCACTGGACAGAGAAACACAGTTACCCAGTGATGACATCACTGGGTCTGAAAAAAGGTATGCACTGAAAATGGTAAGGTTTTCTTGAAAAGTTTCACTAGCATGTTGATGTGGAAGAGGAGGGAGGAACCAGGTAATACTGTATATTGGATGATTAAACTTTCAGCTTGACCTGTACTATGACTCCCTCTGATTTTTTTTTTTTTTTTTTTTTTTTTTTTATAGGGCGAGTGCTTTGTACATGATTGTGTTGTAGCAATCCTTTTTTTTTTTTTTTATTATAATATCAATTTTCTTTGTACAAAAAGACTATATATATATATATATATATATATATATATATAAACAAAAACAACAAATACCGACATTATTACTTAATCACATCTATTATTATTATACAGTATTTATATAGCACCAATGGGTATGCTCAGCACTGTACAGTAGCAAGTGGGACAGAACATGAGAGAAGACAGTAACAATACAATACACGAGGGGTTTGAGGGCCCTGCTCTTACATCCCACCCTATTCCCCTTGAAAGCCCCTTTTCCATAACAGTCTTCAACTTCTCTTTCCCCTCCTGTAAGCCATCCCATTTCTATCAATTTATTTAAACCATTTTAATTCCCCGACTCTACTGTTAAATCACCTCTTATATTTAAATAATTTTTCAATGTTTTAAATTCGTACCACTTTCTCCATGTTTCCCTAAATGCTTCCACCTTATCCTCTTCAATATAACACAACTCCTCCATCTTATTAATATACTCATTTCTATTTATCCAATCCTTCATTGATGGAGGATCTTGGACCTACCAAAATTTAGGGATTAAGCTTTTTGCTGCACCAAGCAAATGGTATAATAAAATGGGTTTTATATTGTTTTATTGACATCTCTGTTTTATAAAAGAGGCGCACCTATGGATCTTTCTGGATTTGAATTCCCACAATCTCCTGTATATTTTTGAATTATTTCTTGCAAAAATACCTGTATTTTTGGACAATCCCACCAAATGTGTGCCATTGTACCTATTACCCCCCTCATCCCCTCCAACATAATGGTGATAGTGTGGATAGATTTTTTTTTTTTTTTCCTGGGAAAAATATTTTTGTTTAGGAGTAGGAAAAAAAAAAGGATGTAGCAATACTTTTTTTTTTTTTCTACTCCTAAATAAAAAATATTTTTCCCAGGGAAAAAAAAAATCTATTCACATTGATCTTGCTAAAAGGTCCGTTACCACTTGTACCCTAGATGTCAGTGTCATCATGTCACATTTGTTTTTCTCTGTTCCACAGTAACTCTGCCTTTTGTATTTTTACATCACAGGTAAGAAAGCCGTGGTGGGTTATGAAGATGGAAGTGTGCGGATATGGGATTTAAAACAAGGAAATGCGATACATGTCATGAAAGGTAAATATGTTGGTAGTTAAAATTAGAACTATAGGGAGCAATTAGAAATTGATGTTCAGCATCAAAAGTTATCCTGTGTGTATTTTTCATTTTATTTCCCTTGTAAATCCTACTAAATACTTGTTGATCCTGTTAGAGTTTTTTTTGCGGTTAGCAGGTGATGGTCCTCGGCTGCTTCTTGTTGTCATTCTTAAAGTATAACTAAAGGAAAAGCCTTCTTTTTTTTTTTTTTTTTTTTTTTTGTATAGAGTGGAGAGGGGTTAGAATGTGCATCAGTTTTTATTGCTTTCTGTGCCCCCATTAGGGAGATTCACCCTCTATTTGTCTTGCTTACCATTGAAAGTGAAAGTAGTCCCCAGGAAAAATCTTCCAATGGGGACACTAGTTCTGGTGACCTGTGGGAATTCTTTTAATTTGCAGGGATTTCATCTCGCTTCCTGTTTTGGCTATGGGACAGGACGTGAAGGGGAATCTCCACAATGGGACACAGATGGTGAAAAACAAAAATCTGACTGGGGTTATAACCTTCCCATACTCTATCCAAAAGGAAAAAGAAAACTTTTTGTCTTTAGGTAGGACATTCAGGAGGAGGTGGTTTTTTTTTTTTTTTTTACTTTTGTAAACACCTTTTTGAGATACTTGACAGTTCCAATCCTGGTGAGGATGATGTAGCCACCCTCCACCCCCAGCCTTTTGGGATACACATCCCAAAAGGCTGCAGGGCCATAGCTGCCAATCTCTTGCAAGATCTCTCAACACTTTGGCTACATGTAATGTGACAATGGCACAAGATATGCACAGATGGAGATCTTGAGCCATGTTTTTTATGTTACATTTTCCCATAATGTCAGAAGATTTTGTAAGCGTTTGGTACTCATGGCCCTGCAGCCTACTAGGATGCGAGCCATGAATGCCAGTTGCTTGGGTGCATAGATCTCCTGACACTATGGAGATAGTATTGTGAAAAACATGGCACCAGATCTCCATTTGCGGATGCATGAGATCTGGCGACTCATCAGGAGACTGGCAGCAAAGCCCAGGAAGAGACATCCAGCTCCCTGTGACAATGTAAATTAAAATGGGCATGTGGGACGAATATGCAGCTGTAGAGTGGTGGGGGAGAAAATGACAATGCAGGATTTGCTTAGCTTGTAAACATGTTTTACCTGGATAAACAAACCTCAAAGGTAAGTGGCATAAGGAATGTATTATTTCATGGGCCAACATAAAGTTCCTCTTTTAACTTTCCTTCAGAAGTAAAAAGAAAAAAAAAAAAGTTGGTGTTCTGATATATCTACTTGTACTTTTAAGTACGCCTGTGCTTTTCCCATCCAGGGCAGAGCAACAGGCTCACTTTAGAGCCGGATCTGGCATCTGCTTATTCTCTCCCCTTGCTCTATTTAGAGACGGCCCCAGCATTTCCTTATTCTCTCCCAGTGATTACATAGTAGTCTGGCTGAGAAAAGACAAAAGTCCATCCAGTTCAACCATTAAATAAAAAAAAAAGTTCTAATCCTACACCCACAGTTGATCCAGAGGAAGGCAAAAAAAAAAACCAAGCCAAGCATGATCAAATTTGCTCTGCAGGGGAAATACCGTATTTTTCGCTCCATAAGACACACTTTTTTTTCCCCCTAAAAAGGGGGGAAAAATGTCAGTGCGTCCTATGAAGCGAATATGGAGCAGCCGGTCCGGTATTTCCACTGCCGCCGTGTCAGAATACCGGGCTGGCCGCTCAGCTCTGCAGCGGGACCTTACCTGTTCCTCTATCCAGTGGCGCGCTGTCTTTCCGGCTTCTGTAGTGTGGGCGCTCGGCTTGACAGCCGGGTGCCAAGTGCGGATGCGCAAGAAGCGGTGCGCTTTGTGAATGGTAAGGCGGCACCTGGGACACATAACAGGTCCCAGAAGCCGACGGACCAATCACAAAGTGCAGCGCTTCTCGCTCATGCGCACTGGGCACCTGGCTGTCAAGCTGAGCGCCGACATTACAGAAGCCGGGAAGACAGCGCGCCACTGGATAGAGGAACAGGTAAGGTCCCACTGCAGAGCGGACACTAACCAAAGGACAACTCCACGGAAGTAAGAGCGGGTACCTGTCAAATTCAGGTACCCCCTTCCCCCCCCTCCCCAAAGGTCAGCAGTCATCTCCTGTACTGTCCACAGTCTCTGGTCATCTCCTGTACTGTGTCCGCAGTCTCTGGTCATCTCCTGTACTATGTCCGCAGTCTCTGGTCATCTCCTGTACTGTCCGCAGTCTCTGTACTATGTCCGCAGTCTCTGGTCATCTCCTGTACTATCTGCAGTCTCTGGTCATCCCTGTACTGTGTCCGCAGCTCTGGTCATCTCCTGTACTGTGTCCGCAGCCTCTGGTCATCTCTGTACTGTGTTTGCAGTCTCTGGTCATCTCCTGTACTGGTCATCTCCTGTACCGCAGTCTCTGGTCATCTCCTGTACTGTGTCCGCAGTCTCTGGTCATCTCCTGTACTGTGTCCGCAGTCTCTGGTCATCTCTGTCATCTCCTGTACTGTGTCCGCAGTCTCTGGTCATCTCCTGTACTGTGTCCGCAGTCTCTGGTCATCTCCTGTACTGTGTCCGCAGTCTCTGGTCATCTCCTGTACTGTGTCCGCAGTCTCTGGTCATCTCCTGTACTGTGTCCGCAGTCTCTGGTCATCTCCTGTACTGTGTCCGCAGTCTCTGGTCATCTCCTGTACTGTGTCCGCAGTCTCTGGTCATCTCCTGTACTGTGTCCGCAGTCTCTGGTCATCTCCTGTACTGTGTCCGCAGTCTCTGGTCATCTCCTGTACTGTGTCCGCAGTCTCTGGTCATCTCTGTACTGTGTCCGCATCTCTGGTCATCTCCTGTACTGTGTCCGCAGTCTCTGGTCATCTCCTGTACTGTGTCCGCAGTCTCTGGTCATCTCCTGTACTGTGTCCGCAGTCTCTGGTCATCTCCTGTACTGTGTCTGCAGTCCATTGGTTCAGAATTTTTTTTTCCTGTTTTCTGCCTCTAAAACCTAGGTGAGTCTTATGGTCAGGTGCGTCTTATGGAGCGAGAAATACGGTAATT